AGGCTCTTTGCCATCCTGAAGAGGCGTGGGGAGTAAAGGCCGTCCTGGCGATTTACGTAGGATACTACCGTCATGTTGTCCGATCGGACTAAGACATGGCATCCTTCTAGATGTGGTAGGAAGGACTGTAAGGCCTGCCATACTGCCAGCATTTCCAGGCAGTTGATGTGCAGCTTTGTCTCTTCGCTCGACCACGCGTCAAAGGCTGGTCTGCCATCGCACAGGGCTCCCCAGTCCGTGTTTGACGCATCTGTGAAGATGACCTTCCTTTGGACTAAGACATGGCATCCTTCTAGATGTGGTAGGAAGGACTGTAAGGCCTGCCATACTGCCAGCATTTCCAGGCAGTTGATGTGCAGCTTTGTCTCTTCGCTCGACCACGCGCCAAAGGCTGGTCTGCCGTCGCACAGGGCTCCCCAGCCCATGTTTGACGCATCTGTGAAGATGATCTGTGAAGATGATCTTCCTTTTGTGCATCATCCCCAGGGGTATATGCCCTGTTTGAACCACGAAGGGTCCTTCCAAGGGGCAAGGGCTGCGATGCAGGCTTGATCCACCTTGATACGAAGGCGTCCGTGACGCTAAGCTCGGGATGGAACCAGGGGTTTCAGTCAGTGTTGAAGAGGCCGCATGCGAAGGAGGCCTAACTGCAGTACTGGCGATGCAGAGGCCGTAAGGCCCAGCATCCTCTGAAACACTCTGAGAGGAAGGGACGCGCCAATCGTGAAGGCAGTTGTCAGCCGCTGTATAGCCAGGACACGTACCGGCGAGGCTACAGCTCTCATTTGGGTTGAGTCGAAGACAGAACCTCGTTTTATTATTCCCAAAACCCAGTCTGTCACTCCTGGGATGGCCTGCCAGGCCTCGGCCCGTGTGATGAGGGATTGGATTGTTTCGAGCAACAGGCCGCCTTGCGGGGACCCGATGCTCGTGATAAGAGGAAGATGAAATTTGCTCTCTTTTTGAGTATGTTTGTGTTTTATTTTGTCCGCTATCACAGCGGTTGTACACTTGGGCGCTAGAACGGGCCCTTTGCATGCAATAAACACATTTTCCCAACACCCGGAACTGGACGGGGCGACTGGGAACACATACGAGGCAGTTCGGGGGTTGTTCGGCCACAGCGAGACTTTGCCCCCTCCTCTTCCTTCCTGAGGGATCAGGATGGCTTCTGAGGCGCAGGGTCCAGCACAGTCTTGGGCCGGGTTCCCTGGCGCTTTGGGAAAGGGTGGCGCTTTGCAGAGCGCGAGCGCTGCCTGGGCTCAGGCCGTGCAGAGGGCTGAGTCACAGGAGGCGTAGTTTTAACTGGCTGTTGAGTCGGCGCCGGCTTGGGGTGACTGGCAGCAGCTGCAGAACTGGAACGCTTCGGCAGGAAGTGTCGCATGGCTTGGGACGACTT